TTCGAAATAATGCTTATACTGTGGTACAAATTCACTCTCTGTGCATGCCTACATCTCTGGTATGAATATATGAAAATTTTGGCGCCAAAATTAATAACTCGGGAACCATAAACAGTAAAGTTTTGGCGTCGAAATTAACACGTGACGTATCAAACAGCAATGCAGTGAACACTTTTTACAGTAAGTTTCCTCGGAACAGAGCTGTACAGGCATCAGTTGGACAGGACTGCAAAAGCGTCTGCTTGGCAGAATTGCACAAGCGTTCGCCGGAGATGGTTGTACAAAGCGACCCTGTGCGTACCACTATTTATTTACGAATGTTGAGATAGTTCAGAGTGTCACTAAACCGGAACACTGGAATAATTACGTACGCAGATACCAGTGCTTGAATAACCAAAACCCGAAGAAACATAAGTGCATCGACTTCCCCTTTTACCTCCCCTCCTCTTGCCCTGAGTCTCCGCCGTCCGGACCGGCACCACAAACCCCTTTTCCTCCGATCACCCCGCTAAATCTAGCCAACTGCAAAAAACCTCGGTTCGGTCCGGCTCGGCCGGCATCATACACAACTCGCGAAAAATTTTTTCTCCCGACGCTGGTTATGTTCGAGGTAGAGAAGGGGTACTGAGACAGATAGGTTTAATGGCAAAGTGGCACACATCCTTTGTCGGTTGTCGAGGTCGCGTACATTTGCAGCGGGAGGGGGAAGGACGAGTGCACAAGGAGGAGGAAGTGTGCTGCTGGTTTTTGCCGTGGATACTGGGGTAGGGAAAGGGCTGAAGTTTTGGTTGCTTCCAAAGTGCCCTTATAGTGGGGATGGGAAGGAGCCCAGATGTTGCTTTGCGAGCAGGACTTGGGGACAGAGTAAAGAAGGGGAACGAGGATAAAAGCCAGGAGATCGAGACAGTAACTAAAGGCTGGGCCGAGCCGAGTTTGAGCAGCCGAAAAACGAGAGCTTCTCGCAGTGGCGGCTGAGCCGAGTTTTTGTAACTGCCAGGGTGAGTGTGTGTGACGGATTGATGGAGGGGGCAGGGGCCAGGGGGGTGCGCTTCCGGGATAAATGGAGGTCCGAAATCTATCTGTTGACATTTCAGATTGTTTTCGTGTCCCGGCAGCCGTGCTCTGGAAAGCTCAGTTGCAGCTGAGGGTGTCGGTTACGCGACGCAATGAGTGGTAGCCTGCTCTCGTCGGTGCCCAATTTCCCTTTCGAGTTTCTGCACGCCGAAATGATATGCTATCAGAAGGAGCGTCAGGTAAAAATACTCACTGTAGCGGTTGCTCAGTCGCTGTGGAACTGCGTATGCCCCCCTCCCCCCTCCTCCGTTGCTCACCCTGCACCTTATCCGGGACTGTGTTGGTTGTGTTCCAGTGCTCCCTCACTTTTACAGAATTGCTCTGCCCGCCTGCCCAGCAGAGGCAGTCCACTTCCGTTCCTTGTTCGAAGCACGCTCACACGTGTACCGTCATGTATTTTTACAGAACTGATTATGGCAAGATTGTGGCTGTGCCTGTGTGTCGTGTATGCATGTCTGTGTCTGCGTGTGTCGGCCACTAATTTAGCCCTGAAAATGCAAGTGCTACGAAGCTGTCCTCTTTGCGCTGCATTCGCAGCTTGTGGCCTCTCTGATACGCAGTTCTCCATTACTGAAAGATTGGGTGGATGATCGTGTTTGTGGAAATACACCTCTTTCACTGCGCTGCCTCCGGTGACTTCGAAAATTCGTTCTTTTGCATCGTTTGTACTTTTTCTTTTTTTTATTTCTTTGTTTCAGGCTAAGCTTGACGAAAAACGAAAGGACTGGTTTCAGGAAATGCGAAGTTACCCTCAGGTTGATGAAGCTGCTTTGAGTGATCAACTGCAGTTGGTAAAACAAGTCTTCATACAGGTTTCTTTAAGCGTTACTGCTCCGTATTCGAAGCAAAGTTTTAGGTGTGTGCGTGTATGTGTGTGCGTGTGTGTGTGTGTGTGCCTGTGTGCCTGTGTGTCTGTGTGGTAATGACAACTAGACTAATAGAAGGCTTTCATAGTATGACAGAACGATGAAACGAAAGAGGCATTGGTCGATTCAGTCAAATGAAGGAGGGTGTCCATAAGCCTGATCGAGGAGTCTAGGGGGTTTCATGCAGCACAGTGATGAGCTGATCCGTGGTCGAGAAGACGGAGTTGTGATGGAAAGCCCTAGCAAAGGAAATTTGAGGATTTGTGTGTAGCCCTAGGGATCCAGCACGGAAGAGAAGTCTTCTCCATTCTGGCAGGAATCGTTTGGACGTCATACGGAGAAGCTCTTGATGAAAAAAAGGACCGAAAATCTTAATACGACGCTGATAAGAGAGGAAAATAGGAAATAGGGCAGGAATATTCGAGCGGTTAATTACAGATCGTGCTATCCGCCGAATCTTTAACTTATGAGCTAGCACATGAATTCTTAACATCTGAAGCATAAACACAGAACAAATTTGAACAGATGCTAACAAATCAGTGCAACA